TTCCCCGCCGGAGCCTCCTGGGGTGCAAACATTCCCATAGGGAAACGGGGCCAGCCGAAGGCACGCAGCGCTCGGCCATGCCCATGTGGCGATGAGTCGGGTCTTYGCAGAGCACTGGTGGCTCAGGCCTGGTGCTAATGGGAGCAAGGACCATCTCCTTGGGCTAGGGCCACCCCCCTGAGCACCCCGTTGGCGCCGGGGTCCCCACCGTGCCTGCCTCTCGCCCACAGTTCTTCGAGGGCAAGGAGCTGCGCCTCAAGCAGGAGTACTTCGTGGTGGCCGCCACGCTGCAGGACATCATCCGCCGCTTCAAAGCCTCCAAGTTCGGCAGCACCGAGAGCATCCGCACCGAGTTCGACTCCTTCCCGGAGCAGGTAGGAGCCGCCGGGCCCGTGGGCGTCACGGGCCGCGCGTGCCGGGCGCTCAGCAGCACCCTTGGGGGCTCTTTGCAGGTCGCCATCCAGCTCAACGACACCCACCCCGCCATGGCCATCCCTGAGCTCATGAGGATCTTTGTGGATATCGAGAAGCTACCGTGGGACAAGGTGAGTCCTGGACCCACCTCGGTGCGCTGTTTGTGCAATGGGCACTGGTCGGCGCGATTCCCAGTGCGATTCCCGGTGCAATTCCCGGCGCTCCCGGCTCCGGGCGCGCGGAGGCAGCTGGGTGCGCCAGGCCGTATGTAACCGGTATGGACGCGGGCCGGTGCCCGCGGCAGGCCTGGCTCCTCACCAGGCGCACCTTCGCCTACACCAACCACACGGTGCTGCCCGAGGCCCTCGAGCGCTGGCCCGTGGACCTCGTGGAGAAGCTGCTGCCGCGGCACCTGCAGATCATCTACGAGATCAACCAGAGGCACCTGGACGTGAGCGGCCRGCGTGCCGGGGACACGCGTGTTGCCCAGGGCATGGGTTTGGGCGTTTGGGCCATGTGCGGGTGGCACCGGGGGCAATTCGGGGCGGTTTTGGCGCGGGGCGGTGGGATGGCAGGGACCGGGCAGGTGCTGCTGCCCCAGAGCCCCCGTGCCCTGCCCGGCCGGGTGCTGAGGGCGCCCTGGCCCGCGTGTCGCCCGCAGCGCATCGCCGCGCTCTTCCCGCACGACGTGGGCCGCCTGCGCCGCATGTCCCTCATCGAGGAGGGCGGCACCAAGCGCATCAACATGGCCCATCTCTGCATCGTCGGCTCCCACGCCGTCAACGGCGTCGCCAAGATCCACTCCGAGATCGTCAGGACCCAAGTGTGAGCGGGGCGCGAGGACGCGGGAAGGGGCTGGAGATGGTCCTCGCGTCACCTCTGCTGTGGGGACCCCGTGGGCTCGTGGTGGCAACGCGCCCACCCCCTGCGCCCGCAGCTTCAGGGACTTTGCGGAGCTGGAGCCGGGCAAGTTCCAGAACAAGACCAACGGCATCACGCCGCGGCGCTGGCTGCTGCTCTGCAACCCGGGGCTGGCGGAGCTCATCGCCGAGGTACCGTCCCCCGGGCACGCGGAGCCGGGAGCGCCCACGCCGCTCTGGCGGGACTATCCACGTGTCCTCGGCGGCCAAACGCCCCTCGCGTCCCCTGCGCCTCCTTCCCACCTCCCAGTGGAAGGTGCTYGGTGAGCCTGCGGGTGCCCGCGCTCAGCGCCCGCCTGGGCTCTCCCTGCAGAAAATAGGCGAGGACTACGTGAAGGACCTGGGCCAGCTGGCCAAGCTGCACGCCTTCGTGGACGACGAGCTCTTCATCCGCGAGGTGTCCAAAGTGAAGCAGGTGAGGGCTGCGGGATGGCGTGGGGTGGCGCGGGCGGCGCGCGCCGCTCCTGACGCCGCTGCCGCCTCGCCAGGAGAACAAGGTGAAGTTCGCGCTCTTCCTGGAGAAGGAGTACAAGGTGAAGATCAACCCCGCGTCCATGTTTGACGTGCACGTCAAGCGCATCCACGAGTACAAGCGGCAGCTGATGAACTGCCTGCACATCATCACCATGTACAACCGTAAGGCACCGCCGCGCACTGGGCTGTGCGAGCCCCCGCTGGGGCTGTACTTAGGACCGCAGGGGACACCAGGACTTGTTCTTCCACAGGCATCCGGAGGGACCCTGCAAAGCTCTTTGTGCCCAGGACGGTCATCATTGGAGGCAAAGTAAGTCAGATGGGCACTTGGAAGGCAGCCCATGGAGATGTCCGAAGGGTGATGTCCTCCTGGATGGGCGCCCTGAGCCCTCCAGGGAGATGCTGGGGCAGCTCTTGGTGGCCTCAACCCAAACTAGACACTATTACCTGGAGCTTGGAGCAAGCYCCAAAGGGCTTCGTGCTGGCAGGGTGATGTGCTGGGCAGATGGATGGTGCATCCCATCCAATGGGTTGGATGGGAGCTGGGCTGAGCAGCACCAACCTGGGCATGTGGGAGCAAGGGGTTCCTCAGGGAAAGCCTTTCTGCCAGGCCGCCCCAGGCTATCACATGGCCAAGATGATCATCAAGCTCATCAACTCCGTGGCGCACGTGGTGAACAACGACCCCATGGTGGGAAGCAAGCTGAAGGTCATCTTCCTGGAGAACTACCGAGTGTCCCTGGCAGAGAAAGGTAGTGGGCCCGGGGCTGTGTCYGGGGAGAAGGGGTGCGATGTCTCCACCTTGCCTGAGACCCAGCCAAGCCTCCTGCAGGGGCTGATGCCCCAGAGCTGCTTTAATGTCATGGGCCGTGAGGAAGGTGGAAGTTCTGCTAGCCGAGGAGGTTGCATCTCCCTGGGCATARAGGAGGCCACCAGGATCCAGTGCTRGMAACTGCAGCCCCTTTCCCTGTGTTTTCCCGGCAGTGATTCCTGCCACGGACCTGTCGGAGCAGATCTCCACGGCGGGCACCGAAGCGTCGGGCACGGGCAACATGAAATTCATGCTCAACGGGGCGCTCACCATCGGCACCATGGACGGAGCCAACGTGGAGATGGCCGAGGAGGCCGGCGAGGAGAACTTGTTCATCTTCGGCATGAGGGTGGAGGACGTGGCCGAGCTGGACCGCAAGGGGTGAGGACGGGCCGGTGGGGCCGCGGGCGGCTCGCGGGGCGCCGGCTCCGACCGCGTCCTCGCCGCCAGGTACAACGCCCAGGAGTTCTACGACAAGCTCCCGGAGCTGCAGCAGGCCGTGGACCAGATCCGGAGCGGCTTCTTCTCGCCCSAGGAGCCCGAGCTCTTCAGAGACGTGGTGAACATGCTCTTCCACCACGACCGGTGAGGCTCGGTGGCRTGGCACACCATCCCATTCCCAACGCCAAGGAGCCACCGCCAGCACCCCCAGCCCTTGCACAAGCCACCACCYGCCTTCCGCAACCGCCTTTCCCAGCCCCAGGGCGGGAGCAAGGGATGCTCCAGGCGCAGCACATCCCTACGGACGGTCACATAGGTGCTGGTGGCGGGGATGTGCAGCATTCCCACCGAGCTGCCCTTAGGCTGCCCCTCGGCGCTTACAGCCGGAGCTTCGAGCAGCCCCRGGCTCAGGGGGACGTGGGTGGCGGTGTCCGGAGCAGGACGATTCGGAGCTTGATGCCTTCCCATGGGAGAGAGCCCGGCCGTGAGCGCCCAGCCCAGCGCCAAGGGAAGGGGCCGCGCGGGCGCTCCCGCCGTGCCCAGCCTGCCCCTTCCTTGCTCCCACAGGTTTAAGGTTTTCGCTGATTATGAGGCTTATGTCAAGTGTCAGGAGAAGGTCAGCGAGCTCTACCTGGTGAGTGGGGACAGGGACCGGACACAGCCACGGGTACGGATGGGGCTGCATCCGGCGCGCCCTGCGGCGCATCCCGGGATGCCGGCACAGGGCATCCCACACCGACATCCCCGCCGCGCCACAGGACGCCAAGGCGTGGACCAGGATGGCCGTGAGGAACATCGCCGCCTCGGGCAAGTTCTCCAGCGACAGGACCATCAAGGAGTACGCGCGGGACATCTGGGCCGTGGAGCCGTCGGACCTGCGGATCCCGCCGCCCAACGAGCCCCGCGACGGCGGCRCCGCCACCAACGGCACCGCGGCCAAGGGCGCCGCGTAGAGCTGCTCCCTCCGCCGCTGCCGGCTTCTCTAGCGACGGGGCTGGGGGGTTTTCTTCTTTTCTTTTTGTATATGTATAATATAGAGCACGCACGGGGTGCAGAAAGCAAAACCATTCCAACCTGCTGCTTGCGGTGGGTGCTAAAAATAAAAGTGCCAACGGGGAGCGGGAAGGGCTGGCCTTGCTGGACTGCGTTTCGCAGGAGCCCCSGCAGCCGGCAGGGCCCTTGGGCGCCGGGGCCCGCGGCCGCCGCGCGCCCTTGGCCGTCGCCACGCGGCTCGGATGCGCAGCCCACAGAAAGGCTCTTGCTGCTCCCAAGGCAGCAGCTCAGCAGGACGTTAAGGGTGGGTGGGATATTTGCCATCACCCCCGTGCACCATGGGCAGCTGCAGTCACCCCCGTGCACCACTGGCAGTTGCAATCACCCCCATGCACCACTGGCAGTTGCAATCACCCCCATGCACCATTGGTGGTTGCAATCACCCCCATGCACCACTGGCAGTTGCAATCACCCCCRTGCACCAYTGGYGGTTGCAATCACCCCCATGCACCACTGGCRGTTGCAATCACCCCCGTGCACCACTGGCRGTTGCAATCACCCCCATGCACCAYTGGYGGTTGCAAWCACCCCCGTGCACCACTGGTGGTTGCAATCACCCTTGCACACCACAAGCGATTGCAGTCACCCCTGTGCGCCATCAGCACTTGCAATCACTCCCATGCACTATCAGCTATTTCAATCAACCCCGTGGGCTGTCAGCGGGTGCAATCCCTGCTCCCTGTGCACAGCCACCTCCACGCCAGTGCTGCTCAGCCCAAGCTGACGCTGAGGTCGGGCCGGGTGCCAGCCTGCTTGCAAAACCCTGCCCGGCTCCCAGGCTTCCCCAGGCCGCGCTTGTGTGGGAGCACTACCTAAATCACAGCAGTTCTGGCTCAGCCAGAGCGAGCAGCAGCATCCTGGTGCTCTGCAGCGGGGAGCTCAGCAAGTTCTCAGTAGTTTGGTTTTTATTGCATTCAGAAGGAGATTCAGTGCCATGATGCGTCCTTGGAGCGGCTGGTGAAGCTTGTGTGCTTGTTGGTCCCTGGGCATCACTTGATGTTCAAGAAGTCCCTGCAAGGAGACCCAGAAATCCTCAAGTCCCCAAAATCTCCATCCCCTTCCCTGCATTTGCAGCCAGGCTGGGAAGGCAGCCAGGTCGGGAAGGCAGCCGGGTCGGGAAGGGAGCCAGGCAGGAACAACGGTCTCACTTGACCAGGGCGGGCAGCTCGGGGTTGGAGGAGATGTAGTCGTGGCCCAGGCCCAGCTCCTCGGGGAAGGTGACGAGCTTCACCTTGGCCTTGTCTGCGTAGGCGCCGCGCGCCGCCTCGAAGAGCTGCGGGGAGGCGGGCGGCCCGTCACGGCCGGGCCGGGGGCGGCCCCGCGGGGCCCCCGCGCGGCACCCACCTGGCGGCCGAGCTGCGGCGGCAGCACCGCGTCGTCCTCGGCGTGCAGGATGAGCAGCGGGCACGACAGCACCTTCACGCTGCGCACAGGGCGGCACGCTCGCACCCGCGCACGGAGCCGCCTTCCCGGGAGGGTGGCACCGTCCCGCCGCGAGCGCACCGGGGAGGGATGCAGCGCGAGCACAGCGGGGACACGGGCACCCCGGCACTCACTTCTCGTCGCTGCGGAAGAACATGCCGCCCCGCGCCATGGAGTCCAGGATGAGGTACTCGAATCCCGGGAACTGGCGGTAGATCTGCGGCAGAGCGAGGCGGAGGGCTGGGGTGGGACCCGGCACGGAACGGCCACCAGGGCCAGCCCGGGCGGCGCTGGAGCCTCCACGCTCCTCCTGCCCCAAACTGCGGCCGCGGGGGTCCCGCCTCACCTTGGTGATGGGCACGTGGGCGGCTGCGTCGCGGATGTTGGTGTAGGGCGACTCCAGCACCACGGCGTCAACCTGCACCCCTGGGAGCRCAGCAGGCATTGGCAGGGGACCAGGCCCGAGCGCTGCCCCCTGTCCCGCTCCRGGGATTGGGAACGTTACCTCTGTCTTCCTGCAGCTTCCTGGCAGCGTTTGTGGCTATCCTGCAAAAAGAAGGAAAGAAACGGGAGGCTGTGGGTGCCGGGCTCGCTCGGCGGGTGCCGGCATGGCACAGTGGCTCCAGCGGCGCGGCGGGCACCCACCCCGTTCCCAGCGAGTGTCCCCAGAAGATGATGGGGCTGTCGCCGCTCCGCGCCTTCGCCCAGTCGTAGAGGGCCAGGACGTCGGTGGTGAAGCCGCTCTCGGAGGGGTGGCTGCTGGAGTCGCCGTAGCCTGCGAGGACGGTGCCSGGCTCAGCGCCGCGCGCCGCCGCCCACGCTCGCTTGGCGGCAGGAAGGAGCAAGCGGGGACGTTACCTCGGTAGTCCAGGGCCAGGATGTGGAAGTCGGCAGCGCCCATGAGCTGGCAGAGAAGATGCACGGGGTGATGCTGGGGTGCACGAAGCCACGGCGAGGTGCACAGCGCGAAACTGCGGTGCACGAAGCCATGGCGAGGTGCGTGGTGTGATGCTGGGGTGCACAGCACAATGCCTGGGTGCACGGTGCAACACCGGGGTGCACGGTATGATGCCTGGGTGCACAGTGTGATGCCCGGGTGCACGGTGCAACACTGGGGTTCACGGCACGATGCCAGGTGCATGATGCAACACCGGAATGCACGGTATGATGCCTGGGTGCACAGTGTGATGCCCGGGTGCACGGTGCAACACTGGGGTGCACGGCACGATGCCAGGTGCATGATGCAACACCGGAATGCACGGTATGATGCCTGGGTGCACAGTGTGATGCCCGGGTGCACGGTGCAACACTGGGGTGCACGGCAYGATGCCAGGTGCATGATGCAACACCGGAATGCACGGTATGATGCCTGGGTGCACARTGTGATGCCCGRGTGCACGGTGCAACACCAGGGTGCACGGCATGATGCTGGGATGCACAGTGTGATGCCAGGGTGCATGGCCAGGCTCTCCACAGCTGCCCCATATGGGGCCACTCACCTTCATGAACTGCACTCGGTGACTCGCTGCCCTGTGGAAAGAGGTTTGCGCAGAGGTGTCACTGCAGCCACCAAGGTGCCATGTGGGCGCTTGGGGGTGGCCCCTCGCCCCCACAGTGTCACTTATCCCACCAGAGCGCCTGTGCTCCGGCTGCCAGATCCCGCTCACCTGGTGCCCCCGTTGCCGTGCAGGTAGATGATAACGGGATGGGCGTCCCCCAGCGCCGCCTCGAACCAGGCGCCGTCCTTGCCGCGGGCCTCGGCCGCCCGGCGGCCCGGCACCGTGTGCCTGCGGGGACACGGGTGGGACGCGGGCGTTGGGCTCCGCTGGGACCGGTGCCCGGAGCGGCGGCCATTCCAGAGCAATAAACAGGAACGGGATGGTTCGGCGGCTCCGCCACGCACCAGACGCCCACGGTGACGCCGGGCTCGGTGGTGAGGTAGAAGCTGACCGTGTTGTTGAGCAGCAGCTCCGGGCGCCGCAGGTCCACGAAGAAGGGGAAGGCGACTGCAGGCGAGGGCGCGGGGCTCAGCGCCACCCGCGCCGCCACCGGCCACTCTCCCAAGCCCCSTGCGGCTCCGCTCCGGCGCCCGGCACCGTGCGGAAGCACCTCTGGCATTCCCAGCTTGGGAAGCGGCGGCGTCGCGAGTCCGGGCACGGAGCCTCCCTGGCACCCGCCCCCGCGCCACCACAGCTTGCAACGCCCCGTGGGATCCCGCTCCATGGGACCCACGCGCCGCATTCCGCACGTCTTCCCGCTGCTTCCCGGCTACCGGCCCGCGGCACTCACGGAAGTTGAGGAAGACGAACTTGGTGAGCAGCGCGGGGAAGAGGCGGATGAGGAAGGGCAGCGCCAGGTAGAGCAGGGCCGCGTCGAGCAGCAGCGTGCGGAGCCGCGGCCGCCAGGCCGGTCGGCACCTGCGGGCAGCGCCGGTCCCGGACCCGCCAGGGCACGTGGCTCCGGGCACGCGGCCGCGCGGGAGCGAGCCCGTCCCGCTGTGCCCCCAGCCCCGGGGTTAATTATGGGGTGTGTGGGGTGACCGCGCCTGGTGCACAAACATGGGGGCGAGCGCACGCCCAGCCTTGCCCAGCGCCGCGCGCGCTGGCACGGGGACATGGGGACACGGRGGGGTGCAGGGACTCCATGGGGGGTGCAGGGACACAGCAGGGGGGGTAGGGACACGGTGAGGGGTGTAGGGACACGGCAGGAGGACATGGATGCACTGGGGTGGTACAGGGATGTGGTCATAGCATGCGGCATGGCCATGGTAGGGGATGTGGCCATGGATGGGGGGCATAGGGACGGGGCACGGGGGTCATGGGCATGGCAGGGGGCATGGGGACACGGGATGGGGTGCTGGGGTATGAACATGGGGACACGGCTGTGGTGGGTGGCACGGGGACACGGCCGTGGGGGTGGCACGGGGCCAAGGCCATGGTGGCTGTGGTAAGGACGTGGCCGTGGCACAGGGAGGTGGCACTGGGGTCCTGGACATGGCAGGGGGCACGGGGACACGGCAGRGGGCACGGGGACACGGCAGGGGGACACGCCAAGGGCGCTGGCACAGGGCCATGGGCACGGGGCCCATGGGTGCACAGGGATGCGCCCGTGGCGGGTGGCACGGCAGGGGAGCACGGGGACACGGCCCGGGGTCGGGGCCGCGCACGGGGGACACGGGGCCGCCGGGGCGCAGCGCTGGCGGGGACGCGCGCGGGGACGCCCTGCCGGGGCGCGCGGGGACGCGGGGCGGGACTCACCGCTGCGCCGGGGCCCTGCCGCGCTTGGCCGCC